GTCCAAACTGGTTGTCCATCCCCTTTCCCCACTTTTATTTTATGATCCCGACATTGCCTCCCAAGTTGATAAAAGCTCTTTCTCTTCCCTATATTTCTTCAGTGGTTGATACCCTCTTGAGGAGAAGAGTACGTTATAGGATATGTATTGATGAAAATACATGATTGATTGAATAAGAAGAGATATACATTTATTTCCACTTAGCAACTGTGTGTTGCTGGTTTGAGGCGCGCCCGACTTAAAGGAGCGAATAATAAAAAAGGTCAAGCAGAATTTGGTGATCTTCTTAAAAGTTGGTAAATCAAAGTTTCATATCGATTTACTGTAAAACCTATTTTTGTAAGACAACAATACAGATAAGACAGAGAGAAAAAACAACTACAGTTCTTTTGACAATAAAATTCTTTTACAGATGATGAAGTGTATTTCTGTTAATAAATCCAACAATCTCCACATAAGTAATTTTTCATCAAAACAAAGTATTTTCCAGTCCCTGGGAGTTTGTTGTAATGAGATTCTACTGTATTAGATAAGTAGATTGTGTAGAGTCTATTATTTATCACAAGAAAGGTCAGGATGGATGTGAAGTTCAGTTATTGTCCCTGGCATACATATACAGTAATTCTTGGAGGTGAATCTTATCTTAGCCTGAAGCAGCATACTCCATGATGAAATAGCATTCTTTGGCTGTGGAGTACTGTATAACCCTATTCACTATACTGAAGTACCACGCGCACTCCAGGATAAGTCAGCAGGATACCACCCCAATCTTTGTTTCAGCAATTAAAGAAATTCATCCAAAATCCACTCCCTCTGCTGTTAACACCTGCACCGAAGGTTTTCATTCATTGCTGAAAACCAGCAGTAATTAATTATATAGTAAATCCTTTTGTGTGCGGATCCGTTTCTCACCTTTGACATTTCGCCTTCTCGTTTTTTTTACTATCCGCAGGTTAAAATGCATGTGGTAGTGTAAATGAATTTCATGTACTGCAAAGTATTCGTGAAATTATATTTTGAGCACTGTTTCGATTGAGCGCATAAGACTCATGCACTGACGACATCTACAACGAAAAAAACTAACCGATCTCTTCATCTCATATTTAACATAAATCTAGTTTTTATAGATGTCGCTTGTATAAGAAATACACAAACGGTGCAGTATTCGCCATACTGTACCAGCGACGTACTTCTGTCAGATCGCGCAAAGGACTTTCTACAAACTATATAGAATTCTATCCATCATCAACTGGAGTGAATTATGGTTATCGTTTTTTTCATGGAATTACTGTACGTTCACTACACACCGGATCATACCTGAGCTGCTTCATGGTCAAATTACTCTACAGCAACCGTTTGCAAAATACTCCAAAACTGCACTGCGGATTTTCATGATTCACCCTCGAAGAGGAAGGCAATGTCCTTGAGTGAATGGAGCACCGGCAGGTCGGCTATGCGTGTGGGTCTGATGAAATTTCGGAACTCGCTATTGTAGATCCGCGGACTGGCTACGCGCGAAGAAAACGGCCAACGTGGAGGAATACGCGTTGGATTCCCAGCGTTGTACAATAACAGGGCGCACAATATATGAGTCATATCCGCGCTTTCCTCGTCACCGTCGTCGGCGCCACGGATTCTGTTTTTTCCCTGCAGTCAATCAATAATACAGGCTATATACACAGCACACGCGGGGTGTCTTTTATCGCGCAGAGTAGCGGTTGTCTCAGTGCGGCCAGTGCCTTATTCCGAGCTGGAACGACATCTTGATGGTTTTATGGTGAATCCGCAGTTCAGCATAGTGATCAAGATGCGCAAATATGCGTAACGCAGAATCCATGCACAGACAGGAAGTGCCACATATGAGTCGTTTTTCTCTCCCTTTTCGAATCGGCCAAAATGATTAGTTTCCATTTTCTGAATGGTGACCACTTTGTGAGCCTGTGAAATACTGTACAGTCATGAATCCAATGCAGTGTGCTGTAAAATTTCGAAAAAAAAGTAGAGAAAATATAGGGCTGCGCGAATTTGTTAGCGTTTCTGCTTTACATCGAGCTGTGATGCATGCGGGTGGAATCAACTGCAGGATATCCTCTGCAGCATGTTATTATGGACACCAATGGGATCGTAAATGCCTGGCCACGGAGTTCATTTTAGATTTGTGTAGCAGAGTTGCGGAGTTAAATCACATTACGGCAGCCTAGCAGACACATGTGCAGTCCAACAATTCCGTCTCATCTCACAACCCTGCAGTTTGCGTCCCACGCAATTCTTTTCGTAAGAGTTCATTTGCGCATTGGTTTAGATTTCTTTTGCGAGTCAAAGTAAACTTTAAAGATCAATTTCATTACCTTGGGTTAACCGAAGGTACACATTCTTGTTTCACGGCAGTCAATGATTCATGCGACACCTGTGTGAAAAACACATTGGTCATTCACGAAAATATAACCTATGTCATGTACTCATGTATACAGTAATTCGACGCGCTGAACTTGTGCTTTTCGTCGTCGCCGGGTATCTATTCAGGTATAGTGTACTACTGTATTACAATCGAGGGCTGCACTGTACTGTAGTCTTGCAACGCATGAAAATAATGTAATGCGGGAGAAGGGAGAAACTCGTTCCGAACGTCATGCTGGGAGTTGGTACCGGGGGCCTGGGTTGAAATTTATTTTTGCTCTCTCCATGCCTCATTCCTAGTTTCCTCCCTTTTTGTTCCCCCTTTCCTGCCTTCTCTCTCTTCGTTATTTCCGTGCCGTTCTACGTCAAGGATTCAAAAACCGGAGGAAAACCGTTGGCAACCCTGCCGCATCGGGTAAGCTAGCTCTTATGGCAACAGCTGACTGTATCTTGCAGATCTTCGGTTCCTGACCGGAAAGCGGTAGTGCTGTGCGGATGCGATGCGCGACGAATTCGTGTGAAGGCCGCCCTTATAGTTACGCTCTTCGCTGGTGTTTCGGTCGATATACTGTTACTAATGACATTATTTTATGCCAACGTGAATACTGCAAGTGTTCCTCTCGCGAGAGGGCATCGTCCGGACCAGCAGCAAGTACATTGCGGTGTAATTGATAGTCGTGTTATCGCGTATGATTCGTCGAACTGAATGTAGGCCTGCGTATTTCAATGGGTTAGACGAGCACCATCGCGATGATGCCGGGGAATTTCGCTTAGTGGTACGTAAGTTTCCCCATGAGAAAAAGTCTGGGGTCCCAAGTGTGGTGTAATCACGAATTTGAACCAATTGAAGAATGTTTTGTTGTACTGCTGCCATTATAATGTTGGACAGAATAAGCATTACGATATTGGAAGATGAATTTTTCTGTGGTGTAGAATTGGGGTTCAAATCGAAGAGTCGATATCGAGTCCGTTTATGCATGACCGAAGACAGGGACAGGGTTGAGCCCTAATCCGTTAATAACTTGCCTATCCCCAATTTTCTACCTCGATCTGCTCGGTTATTCTGCGTATAGGAGTTTACGCTGTGAGCACCAGTCCGTCCTGGAGCTGAGATGGACTGATGGCGTATTTCAGCCTCAAATCCGCCGTCGAAGAGCAGCTTAATCAACTATTAACGGATCTCGATTTTTAGTTTGTTGGATTTACTTCAGGGAATACATGTGGTACCGTTTCTCCACGGATATGTGTATTCAGGACAGGGTTGATCTGGTTGTATGATTTTTTCAGCGTTTAGGAAGGGTTACCATTGCATTGTGCGACTCCATTAATGGATAAAGTGTACATTTGTTGCTCTCGAAATGATGAGGTATTGCCTACACCCATCGAAACTGGGCGAAGCGAAGCGAAAGCAGTCCATGGTTCCCGTACTTCCCGCTGATCATCGTCAATGCGTGCGAATGCGGAAGTTTTAAGTACTGTACTTCAGTGTAGCTTCTGTGCCAGTTTCGTGATGAGGTGAGAACTGCATTGATTCCGTGAAAGCCGAATCCCGGTGCAGGCTGTCGTCACGATTCTTAGGTTGCAGACGTGAAAGTTTTGTACAGTACTGCACTTGATGATGTGAAATGTGTTCGAAATTTTTTTGACGCCTCGTGCGATTTCCGCTGTTTTTCGCGGTTGCCCGGATGGGAGCTCGCGTGGAAAGCTTTTCATTTCAATCACGAGCGAATATCCGGCAACCGGTTTATTTTTTGGAGAAGTGATAATTAGAGCCTAGGTTGAATTCGCATCTTAATCTTGTCATGAATCTTTCACTAATGAAAAATAAGACAAGTTCTGCTCACTTTTCTTTTTTTAATGTGGGAACGAGGCTGATCGTGAAAACATCGTTTATAGAGAAATGTAGCGACTACGAATTTCGAAACAGCAAACTTTTTTGGGGACCCTACCTAATCGTCACAAGGTTGTACTGTATTTCTTTTTAATGAAATTAAAAAACGAGTATTCTCCTGGTCCTATTAGCTTTTTTGTAGCGAGATTTCAACTGTACCGATTGTGGCATGATTTCGGAACTGCATCAAATCTCGCGAGTGTAAAACCAATTTTGAAGGTTTCTTATTCTAGCTTGAAGTTCGGTCATTTATAGATTTTCAAATTTTCGTCCACTTAAAATTTGTCTAATTTTGCTCACCTTTCAGAGCAAAATATTTGGGTGAACAAGTAAAGATGTGTGTCGTGTTCGCGTATTTTTTGCTCAGGAATGTACTGTAAAACGAATATCACTAATATTTGTCTGTTCCACTGAATTACGTTGTATAAGTCCACCTCTGCAATGAAATAGTTTTGATATTGTGACTATGCTCAAAGGTTTCATAATGCATTCTGTATTATGAAGCTTTTGCCAGGGCCTTCTGAGAATTTTTCTGTGATGAAAAGTTCGTTTTTACCGGATTCGTTTCAATAGAATGGATCTTCAGCAATGTTTTTAGAGCCCAAGGTGACCCTTCGTACCTTCCGTTGATGATGTGCGGCATATTCTTGACGCTCTTTCCTCGCTTCCAACTCAAGTCCACTTTTGAACCGAATGCAATTTCTATCTCTGATTGTTTTATACTCCATAGATTTGACTTTCAAATGGTGACTATTTCTGTGTTGAATTGATCTCTTAAAGAAATGGCCATGATTGACGATGATGGAGAGAAAGCAATTTCTCCGTTGAACGACCTTCCGGTGAGTGAAATTTTCATTTTCGAGATGAAAATTTTTATTAATTAAAAAACAAAGTAATTCGAAGCTCATATTCATTTATGCCTACGGTAATATTTGTGTGTCGATAGTATTTTTGTGCTTAAAATCTTACATACAGTATTAGTCATTTGAAGTATATGAATTAAGCCGTCCTGCAATGTTTGTTTTTGTGGAGAAGGTGAGACAATAGCTAGTATTGTGAGAGGAAAAAGTTTAAAAAACGCAGCAATGATTTCATTCTAACGGGAGAATCATCGTTGTTAAAGCTACCGTTGAAATCTTCATGTGGCCTGAGCAAAATTCAAGACAAATGAATGACATTTGTTTTCAAAGCGTGTATCTTCCGAAACCGCATATCGTGTGTCATGTTTTATTGATTACGGTCACAACCTTTTTTAAATTAAATTTTTAAATTAACATTTTGGGTCAAAATTTCGTTTGCGTCGTATACAGCTACGAAGTTTCCAGAGCATTCTGAAGTTTTGCTATGCATTCTATTTACATTATGAAGAAAAACGTCTATTCCAAGAATATTTCTGAAACTAGGAAAGATGAGTGTGAACTGAAACGATTGGATTGCTCAAATATTTAAATTCGTGCTGCTTGTTTCATGCATCTACAGGAGTCATGTAGCGTATGCCTGCTTCAAATGTTTTATAAGAAAATTAATTGTGACTTTTTCAGAGGTAAACTGATGAATCATTGTAGCACGTCTAATACAAAAGCTTCGAGGAAAAAATGGGAGTAGAAAACGATTGAATTTTTCTTATACAGTACTTCTGCTCAAGTTCGTATCTGATGGAAGAGTTTATTGACCTACGAATTTTATTCACCGAAATCTGTATGTTTTTTTGTGGTAATGGGATTTTTAAACTTGGGGTCTTTTCAAAAATTTTTCTCACAGAAAGTGTGTCTACGCGTACCCTGGCATGCTTTGGGCGGTATTTTAATTAAAAAACGAGTACGAGTATAAGTGACGTTTCACTGGGTTTTTTCTTTTTTGGGAAGTTGGTGGATAACCTAACAGCGTATGGTTGATTTGCAGGACGAAATCTTGATCAAGATTTTTGGGTATTTGGACTCCTCACGTGACATTCCGAAAGTGGCCCGGGTATGCAAACGCTTTCATTCAATCGCCACTGACGAAATCGTGTGGTTCAAGAATCTTTTGACCGCTGGAATCTTTCCTCTTTCTGTTGACGAACATTTCTTGGACTTGATAAACAAGTTGGATTCTCGGAAAGCTGACCCGAACTCTGACGACGCCCATGACGAGAATTCTCCGGACTGGGAGAATTTTGAAAGATTGGCGCGGTCTAATTATTATCGCCTGCTTTTGAATAACAAGAAGATTTGGAGGCTTGTTGCATCGAACAAGATGCTTATCAAGGACTGTGATGTGAAGAATCCTTATCATATGTGAGTCATCGTACAATTTTCCTTCGAAAATGAGACCTTCTTTAAAAAATCTCCCATCGTTAGAACCGTGTTCTGCATAAAACGTCTCCCATACCGTATATCATTTCTACTTGCGTTTTATTTTACAAATTTTACGGCACATTCGTTAGAATTTAAATTCCAACTTGAAATACTGAACTGTATATTGAAATTGAATTTTGATTTTTGCCCTTTTTAAATTACTCGTTGAAATCTGTTTAAAATTCCCTGTTGGAATCAAGCATGATGCTTACTGAAGCTTTGAAATTTCTCAAATGTTGTACCACCGCCTTTGATGAGCACCATTTCTTTTCTCTTTGAATTTAGAGAAAAAAAGGTGTGCGTTGTACAGCTCAAGTAAGTACAGTAGTCTGAAGTCTCATATACATGTAGTATTGTAGTCTAAGCAGCAAGGTACTGTATTTTGAGGGGTTGAAAAGGAAAAACGTGGTCTTCGCAAATCAGTGTGCCACAGAACATAACCTGAAGTTTTTGCCTTCATGAAGCCTCAAATTAGGGGAAGACCCATGTTATTTTAAAGGAACGTATTGAGCTTCAACTGTATTGACGTTCTCCATGAAGTACAGTATTGTCGTCTAGTACTCTAGTGCTGTATCGTCAAAGACGTTCAATGTTGTCAAAAACTCGTACAGATGTCACTGTTCCCACATGACTCAGAGGCTTCCTATCCGTTAAGTCTCGAGTGATATCGTGCATCGCCATTATTTAGGGAGATTCTGATCAAAATTTGAATTAGTCCGAAAACTCTTCTTGCTCGATAGATTCCAGTTGACGGCCACAATTGAGAAGCAACCATTTCCGGACTGGGCTTGTAAACTGAAAACTCGTCCCGAGCAGAACTACCATCAGCATCAACTGCAGCGGCCAGTCGAAGAACCCGCCAAAACTCAGCCGCGGATTTTCACGCAAATCAAGTCGTTCATCACTTCAGCGGGCAAATTTCTCAAATCCGCGAAAGTAAATCTAGACTCGTTTGACGTCATCCCTCAGTGGATTATTTGTTTCATTGCTTCCCACGATTTTTCGCTGAAAAGTACAAGACGAACGAATTGGATGAAGAAAACGAGTCGAAGCAATTCGAAAGTGATCCCTTCTACATGATGTTCGGTCCTGGCTTGGACTCGCCGAGAACCAAGAAGATCGTTGTCCAAATGATGCTTTCCAACTTTTCGGGAGTGATGAAAGGATCTTCGTTAGATATTATGAACGCCAGTCGCCGGCGAAACGTCGAAGATGCCCCTGGAATCGGTACGGCAAAGAATAAATTCTGTATTGAATTTACCTTATTTACTCAAGTACCACGCGCACTCGAATAAGACGCGCATCTTAGTTATTTTTTCTCGAATTTAAGACAAAAACTTTCTTATCGCTGCATAGACAGCCGGACAATTCGTATTTAAAAAAATGCTGTGAAAATCTATATAAAGTCCACGTAAGATTAGATCTCAATATTTTGATTTTTTTCCGATGAAAAACAATAAATAATTTTAAAATACTGTAGTATCTTTGAAAAAATGTTGAAAAAGTGAGGGAAAAGTTCGAAGTTAAAAAAAAAAATGTGTACCCATGCAACCATTTGACACGCACGTCATTTGTTCTGTTCGGAAAAATGTGTGCGTGGTACGCGAGTGAGTATGGTAGGTGATCAAGAGTGATCTGAAATTTATCCTATTCCAGTTGTATACGGTATTATTGTACGCAGGACACGGAATCCGTTTGATGTCTCACAGTGGTCCTATTGAGGTCGTAACCGTGTACAACACCCGGGCAAGGCAGCGAGACGTGCAATATCGCACTAACTTCGAACGGATGACAGCTAGTGGCATCTTTCAGCACGCTGATTCCATCGACGAGAATTCAAGCGAGAACCAGTGGGTTCTTCAAGACGGCATTCGTGCTGCCTCTGGCTACAGTTCGGGTTTCCTTTACGTCGTGGATGGACGAGCAGAAAATCTAGATGGTGTGTAAGATCCCTCAGTCCGTTGGTCGTCATTATGAAGGATTGAAGCAGAAAGTCCTTTTTTAAAGGATGCCTTTCCGCAGTATTAGTGCCGCGTTTCTGCATCAATTTATGTGTCGTTCCGATGTATGTATAGTACTTTACCTTGATCATGCACCCAGCATCTGAAGCGTATACATACGTTAGGTTCTGCTAATTAGAATTGAATCGAATGGATTTCCGACATTGAAATTACTGTACCTGTATATACCCTGGTCACGTTACTCTTGAATTTGATCGAGCCAGTAATTGAATGGATTCTATTCAGAAAAAGGAGGTCTCAATTCGGTGTTATTTTAGAGTAGGTATAGACGTTATCTTGAATTACTATGTAGGCTTTCTTGTACAGTGGGGCCTTGAGCAACGAATCTAAATCATTCGGGGGGTTATTGGTTTGTTGCTCAAAACGTTTTATATGTAAGGCACAATTCCCCGTGGTGACTCATTAGAAATCACTCATCAGTCACTGCGGGTATTGTTTCCAGAGTGAAAATCTATGGTAAAATGAAGAAAATGGTTAGGAAGCATTTCAAGAACAGACAGAAGTACGAGGAAAAAATTAGTAACTGATGAATTTTAACTGAACATACTTTAAAACATGCAAAACTGGAAGCACGAAGGAAATTTAAATTCTCTCGAAATATTTCAATTTTCGTTTGAAGTAAAATTTTCTCCATTTTTGTCCCCCCCCCCCCCNATGCTTTAGTTACTGCTAGCTGTAAGCATTCACAAGGTTTAAAACTTTTTTTCCCCCCCCCCCCCCCCCCAGGAATCTATTTTCATGAAATCATACAATTTTCTCTTCTTATAAAGTTTTTAAAGTTGAAAAGAAAATGTTACGGAGTTCCTTCACTCAATTTAAGGTTCATTTCTGAGGTCAAGTTCAATGCTTCAGGCAATATGGTGTCCGAAGGCTGAAACAGGGTTTGTTATGTAAGACATTCGTTGCGTAATGAGGCGTTCGTTGCTCAAGAACCCGCTGAACACTGCAGTATGCGTAAAATAAACTGTGTTTTCAGCGCATCATCGTGTGCATAAGCTATATACAGGAGGTCAGTGCCGAGGTCTGAGGTGTGGGGTTTTTTTTTTGGGAGTCAGCACTTCAGTTTAATGCGGTGTGTCTTCTCTGCGAATTTCGGTTTTCTTATGCTAGTTCGATTTTGGCGGTAGCAAAAAGAACCCGAATCTGAGCGATCAATTTGGGGAGATTTTACGATAACGAGGAAGAGGTTTCAAAAGGTTTCCCATTCAGAACCTATCATCTGTTGTAGTATATATATAGAAGTGCTATAGAATTATGGAGTGTCTTCGTTGCGTTTTTTTCTTCAGGAAGTGATCCGGATAGTTCATTGGAAATGAGATGTTTCATTCGTCCTATATCGCCGACGAAGCCGATTCTTGTGCTGAATTGCCAGGAAGAACCCGACTCTCCCGTCATCAGCAATTTCGAATTGGCGATCAGGCTGAGGTTGTTCGATTTCCCGAATCCGGTCGTGGTGAGTTCGAAGTGTGGATTATCTCTGGATCGAAAGCACAACTTACGATGAGCGTAGTATATGCACTAGCTGGTCGTTTGTTGCCGAAAAATTAATTTATTTTAAACTGTTTATCTTTTCGAAAATTGAAGGTAATCCGCGTGGATTCGAGAGACGTTCTGCATTCCGGGCGCATGGGGTTCGCGTGGATGAAACTCAGGAACCATTTTGTTCAACAGAACAAATTGCAATGAAATGATTTTCTTTTTTTGTTGTTGGAACATGTGACAACGACAACGAGGGATGATGATGAGCCAGTGGAAATTTGCAAGAGTCAGCTCGGATGATATGGTCTCGCTTTTGCTGGATGGAACCCTGTCGACTATATTTTGCTCTTCGTGACACGAAACGAAGTACCAAACGGATGACCGATCAAATGCTTGATTACACTGGAGATTGACCGAGTGATCGCATATTTCTTTCGAGTGGTTTGATTTTCAATGTAAGTCCGCAGATAGAATGCACTTTTTTGCAAAAATGGCCGGATGGAGACGGATTCAAGCGATTTTCGACGAGGCAATCGAACCGCTTTCTGCGGAAATAATTGACAGAAATTACGGTAAATTCAATCTATTTTATTGCTTTGTATTATACTTCTTATACTGTGGTTAACTGCGAATTTGGACTTCGAAGAAATGATGTGGCAGAAGAAAGAGTTTCTAATCTTGAGTAGACTTCGTTAAGTTTCTATCTTGGATGAAACTCTGAGCAAACCTGATCGTAAAAAAAAAGAACATCGCTCTGTTCTTGATCCGTTTTGCTGTATAAGGCTGTGGATGCAATTATTATTTTTTGCATCAACGCCGCTTGGATATGAAAGACAAATAAAGAAAATGTCCTGAAGAAATAACCAGTTCTAGACTGCAGTAGTACAGGACAGTATATAAGTTTCAAGTTTCAGATCCTCCTCTTCAATTCGGATGCAGGTGGTACGGTGGTACCCCACAATTTGCTGGACAATAATCCATTGCTGAAAAGGGTGAAATTACAAAATGGTCAAATTGTGACACTGTGAAATCAAGGAAGAGCAGTACGAAAACACTAAAAAGTTGACTGAAGCAGTTTGAATTGCAAGTCAACTTCCCAGCAAATTTAACTGTCAATTTTGGGATGGACAAATTGCAGGAGATCAAAGTGCAAGGTACTACCTGTAACATGAGATAAGCCAGGTGTGTGCATGGCTTTGGCAATAATTTATTTTGTTCAGAGAATGATATATGATGAATATCACGCATTGTCAACATAATTTTGCACATACACTGTATGACACATTTAAATTTTTATGGCTCATCAAATGGCAGCAGAAGTTACAAAACAAACATGCTTTACATGACTTTTGTCAAGGACCCAAGACAGTTCCATGAGCTATAAAGCACGAAAACAACTGCTGTCGACTCAGTGTGAAGTGGGAGCAAGTCGGACAACACATTTTTCCTCTAGAATTGTGAGCCTTGCCAAAATATTCTTTGACAAGACTCACTGTGCCTGACCTGCTGAGGCCGAAGAAGTTGAAATCATATTCTTTGATAAAATAACTTCTTTAATTTTGCCTCAATTAATAATTGGCCAATATTGTGAGTTGGGAAGAAATCAGATGAGGATCTCTTCCTAACTCACAATAATCACTTGGGCATGAATACCCTCATTCCTTGACGAGATGAGAGCAGTGCTGACTGCTGAGAAAAAACCGAGCAGAAATCACCTGTAGATATATGCATCGATCATTTTGTAACAGCCTGATGATGATCTTGAAAACGCTGCAAAGAAAGTCCTATGAAAATAGTTGAGTCGAAAGGTGTACATAGCACATTTCCAGTGGCTATAAATTTAAATTAATTTTTTTGTCAGGTATTGAATGTGTACCTGACAGCTTTTATGGCTTCAAGTCCCATCAGTTTTGTTCATCGAATCCAGGAGAGCTAAATCTCCGGGTCATCATGGACATGTCTCAAAAAAAGGAAGCAGGAGAATATCCCATGGCAGAAAATATCCTGTGGCTTGAAAATCCTGTGAGGCCAATAATCACGCAAGCAAAAAAATCTTGAGAGGTACGCAAAGAAGTTGCAAAATTATGTCTGGGTCTTGAAACTTGAAATACTCCAATCTGAAAAACACTCCAAAGGAACTCCTCCCAAGAGTGTTGAGTCGAAACGTGTACATTTCTGATGACTATAAATTTAAAGAACAGTAATTCCTTTTCGAGAATTTATTGTGTCCCTGACAGCTTTTATGGCCGAATTATGTTGTGCGGAATTTTTTCTTCTAAAAAAGGAGACACTTAGGACATCAAGGGTGTTTCAAAGTCGACGCGTCTCGGGACGCGCCGACAGGTACGATTTGTCTCTTTATCACATCCGCAAAATTGAGGGAAATTCAACAATTTAGCAAAGCAGCAATTAGCTTGTCTCATGACTCGCCTGCAGCTGCAAGCAATCCCTGTCACAGGGTTATAAACCAAAAACAACTTCCCA